GTATCCCTTTTTTATTACTTTTTTCCAGGGAGATGAGCCTGCTGGTGACACAGAGGATCTCAAGCCAGGGGCAGATGAGAACCTTCCAGAGTTGAAGACCACCAAATGGCGCGTGGAGAATTCCTGGGGCGAGGAAAAGGACAAGCCAGGTTACCTAATGATGACTGATAGCTGGTTTTCGGAATATGTTTATGAAGTTGTTGTGGACAAGAAATATGTCCCAGCAGACATCATGGCTGTGTTAAAGCAGGACCCAGTGATTCTACCCGCCTGGGACCCAATGGGCTCCCTTGCTTGCATAGTGTGTGGGAAAGAGGAACATCTAGCTCATTTGTGATATATTAGATAAACATTTGGTAGTTTGTTAACTGATGATACGTGCATCAAACCAATCAAGCACATGAAAGAAGACACCATGTCTTCTCTATGTCTTGCTCAGTAGCCTCTGTATCAGATGCTAGAAAGGGAAATGAGGTGATTTCTTCACCCACGAATTGCTCAAAACATGAAGGAAACTCACAAGGATGAAAGTTAAAATTGTTTTCCTCTTTACTCGCCGATATCCTTCTTCTTCCTTTCTGGCACCTGGTACGCATGTTCGACTAGAGCAATTTTATTACTGTACTCTTTGGAATCTGTAAAACGGGGCTTATTTATGTTATCGAATAGTGGATTTGATTTGATCATGACTGACAACAAACGGTTTGAGCCTGTGAAACAATATATATAATGTAGTGTGCAACTATTATCGTATATTTTATGCCGGCATGGGATATAAATAGAGTCATTGTGCAAATAGTTCAGTGATGTCGCTATTTTTTTACCTTTTCTGGCATTTTTTTGGATGTCGAAATTAGGCTGTCCTCTTTAAACCTGCCTTACTGTACTTTACTTTATAAACCACATAGCCCATACACTGCAGGCAAAATGTATCTCTCTCCCCTTAAGGTATCTCTCTCTGCTTAAAGGCCCAACACTGTTTGAAGTTGTTGCGTCTGTTTGCACGTAGCTAACGTTTGACCGGTTTCAAACTTTGTGCAAAAACTCCCAACACCATGCAACAGGGTGTGCAAACGGACACAGCGTATAACATCCAATAATGTTGGGAGTTGTTTGCCAACAATGTTACGTCTGTTTGCACGGGGCTTAACGGGCATGTAATTAAATTTTCTCTGAGTTTCACCGAGACGCGTCTTTTTAAATTATTTTTTACTCGTATGGAAACAGGATCAATGCCAATGGAATTTAAAAGCACGCATGCTTATCCTCTCCACTTAAGGCAGCCTGTATATAGACGATGTTTTCTTTTTCTTCTCAAAAATCGACGAGCGTGAGGGTGAAACTTGCGCGGAGCACGATAAAGTCTATTTTCTCTTTTCCCCAACCCCCACCCCCTTTACGCTAGCCATCAATAAATCCCCCATGGTTTTTATTTTCATAACCGCGCTCGACAATCTCTGAAGAGAAAATAGGACAGGCTACCCTTAAGGGGCTTTTTTAAGTTGTGGGTTCCCTCGGTGGGTTTTTAAAGGGTGTATCTAGCTGACCTTTTGAGAATGGATGGTCATTAATGTCTGTCCCCCTTGAGTGTACTTGCTCTCATATTGGATTCAAGCCTACGGTGATTTCCATAGATTTCCATTCCTGATTCCATTCCAGTAGCCTCCTGAACAAGAAGTGAGCTGTACCTATGTTATACCAAAATGTTGAGGATAGTTCAATCCCTTGTCTGGAGGTTTGAAACTTTTTGAAAACATACAACCTGTACTTCGGCGTGGTGGTGGTGTTGATGGGGTTGGTGGTGATGATGGGGGTGATGATGGTGACAGTGGGGGTGGAAGTGGTGGTGGTGACAGTGATGATGGGAGGGGCTGGTGATGGGTCAATGTTTTAACAACAAAAACAATATGCTTTAATTGCATGACTGTAACAAAGTATTACAGTATTGCAAAAGCTAATTGAATTTAATTATTGATTCCTTTTTAAATTAAATATTTAAAATAATTTTAAATATATTAATCATTGGTTACTTTCAACCATCAATAGGATTAATTATTCCGAACACAAGTTTGTCTCTCAATTCAAAGCAAGCTAATATAAATGAAATTAATTGGATTTTAGTTAAATAGTCAGTAGAATTCATTAGACGTGATAATAAAATCTCGTGTGATTGCAGTCGTAGAAACGGTATTTTAGAGAGGATCATCTCTGTTATTGAAGAAAAACTTGGACAATCTAATAAAAAGTGAGTTTCATCTTCAATTCTGTTACAGTTGCAGAGAGACCAGGGTGATGGTGAGGATGGTGGTGGTGCGGGTGATTATGGCGATGGTGGGGGGGGGGGGGGGGGGGGTGGGGGGGGGTGGGGGGGGGGGGTGGGGGGGAGGGTGGGGGGGGGGGGGGTGGGGGTGGTGGGGGTGGTGGTGGTTATGGTGGGGGGGGTGGGGGGGGTGGTGGGGGGGTGGTTGTGGTGGTGGGAGCGGTGGGGGTGGTGGGGGGG